CCCCAAAACCCCAAAACCCCAAAACCCCAAGTGGCGGAGTTACCTTATTATAAATTAAAAAAATGGGCAACAATTTCTCGTCACAGATCTGATGCAAAGGCTGCAAAGAAGCCTGAGGGTAAGGACTAAGCATGTTACAAATATATTTGAGCTAAGTTTGAGGAAACTTAGAGTTTTTTATGAGAGAAATACTAAAAGTTCACCTATAGAGACATGAGTGAAGAAAACTTCAATTAACAATGAAGGCAATATTAAAACCGATATTGTTCTAGTTGGTGATGAAAGTAACAAAAAGCTAAAGAAATTAGATTGAAATGCAGGATCTCCTCAGTTCTTTACTCCTCCAGATTATTCATCAAACCCTAGCTCAAAAATTATCATGAAAAGGAGTGACCGGAAATTCGTTACTAACGAAGATGAGGAGGATATCAGTATCCCACCAAGTATTAAAAAGGGGCCAAAAAGGCTCCAATGGGAGATTCAGAACTGAATCAAACTAGCGAGTACATCTGGAAGACTTCAATCAACCTCTACATTAGCCTCTCCGATGGAATTCAGGGAAGATTCCGCAGTGAAAGTCAATTTTTCATCAAATCAACATCTTGAAACTTTTGGTGTCAAAGAGCACACAACAGATCGTCTCAAAGATGAGCTCCAGACAGTTGTAAATTTTTGTGCTTTCCAACGGAATTTCCTCTCAAATTTTCATGACCAAATATAGCTCAGAAGTAATAACAACACAATTACAGATCAAAATGTTGAGGACAGACATCAAAAGACCGAAGAGAGCTTAGATAAGGTTATTGAGAAGGTGAATGGTATCTGTCAGGAAGACACACAGCATGATCCAATTCTGAATAGCGAAATTGTCACTAATCTTCATGAAAATACGAGCAAAGGCAAAGTCATATCAGAGGAAAGCAAAGAGAATGGTAGGGTAAGATTGTTTTAGCTTCATCATATCTCTTCTGATCTTTCTTTTTGATATTTCTCTAGAGTTTTAAAATCCGATTTTTTAAACAGAAATATTCTAATAAAAATAGGAGCCAATCGCAGAAGAACAGATGAAAAAGCCTCTCAACCATCAAATTACTTTCAACCCAGAGCAAATGATAAATGCTCAGGAGAGGATTGACACTAACAACGAGCCTGATCTCTCTGAAATAGCTCCTCCAGAAGGCACTCCAGAAGTAGATTGGGAGGAATTTGATCAACTTGATTACACCACTAAAAAGGAATATGGAGAAGGAATCCAAGGTAGCGAAGATGATGACTTCGATCTCCAAGAGAATCACGAAGTTTTAAAAGAGCTTAATCAGAGAGACACCTTCTTCACTATCCCATCTCGAGCCTCTAATCAAGTGGAAAGGTATTCCCATAAAAGAATCGAGAGGAAGCTCAAGACTGTTGATCTTTCAAATACAGAATATGTCTCGCCAAAGAATGCTTCTTTAACAAATCAGCATCTGAATATCTGTAACTTCAAATGTGTAGATGTTGAAGACCATGATAAAGTAATGCAGGAGTACTATGGTCATAAGGAAGAACTTGAGTTGCATACTATCCAGGAGGTCTCAATGGAGTTCTCTAGAGCCAGTGATATCAATTCATGAAGAAGCTCAGGTTCTCCAAGACAAAATCAATCAAAGCCAGAAGAGACAGGCCTGTTTATAAGAGACACATTAAAGTTTTTCAAGAAGAATTCTGAAGAGTTCATTGAGCTCACTTGAGAGTTCACTGGAGAGTCTCTTGAATGATATGAGGAGTCAGATGTAAGTTTTTATTTTAATTATAATAATAGCTGGAGTCCAAACTTTTCATGAAAATAAACACTGATTCTATGTTCAAAATAATCCCTCGGTATGATAAATACATGGATCTTGCTAGATATAAGTTTGAGATCATTCTAACCGAGGAGTATGAGACAAAAGAGGGGCTCCATCACAGTGCCATGAAGAAGAGTGACAATTTCCCGCAAGAAGATATCATATCAGAGGTAATCTGCTCTCATCATATTTTAATTCACTGATCTCTAACTTTCTATAGAACAAATTCTACTATATTTTCGGGTGAGATGAGCAAAGCACATATGAAAAGTGGCTAGGTTTCATCGGGAATTGTCTCCAAATCTCCAGTGAGAATTAATCAAAACTAACCTAAAATTTAATTGAGAACTTCAAGAAGCAGCTTCAATCCTGAAGTTAGTCAGAGGGGTTTTGGGGTTTTGGGGTTTTGGGGTTTTGGGG